GATACAGTCTTCCTATGTTGTCCAGGCTGGAGTGCAATGGCTATTGATAAATTTGATCCTACAGTAGTTTCCACCTACTCTGTTTCCAACCTGGGCCAGTTCACCCCTTCTTAGGCAAACTAGTAGTCCCCCACTGTTAGGAGGTCACCATAATGATGCCCAACTCGGTGTGAATGCCAGACCGCAGAGCACACTACAGTACAGAACTCCTGGGCTCAAGTGATCCTCCTGCCTCAGCCTCCCCCAGCCATTTGTGATCTTGTTTTATCTAACTCCTTCCTCCCTCCCTCCCTTCTTCCTACCTTCTTTTCCTTCCCTCCTTCCTTCACTTCCTTCCTTCTTTCTTTCTTTCTTTCTTTTTTCGAAAGATATTGCAAAGAGGTATTTTTTTGAAAGATACTGAAAACGGGTATTTTTTTTGAAAGTTATTACAAACAAAAGGATATTGTTTTTCTCTGTTTTTTTTTTTTTGTATTTAAAATAATTTTTTAGACAGTATCTTGCTCTGTTGCCCAGGCTATAATGTAGCATCATCATCATAGCTTACTGTAACCTTAAACTCCTGAGCTCAATTGATCCTCCTGCCTCAGCCTCCCAAGTAGCTAGGACTATAGGCATGCACTACCACACCCACCTAAGTTTTCTATCTTTTTTTTTTCTACATGAATCCTAGTGTATTTATTGTGACTCATATAAAAAGTTACAAAATATGGGCAGTGCCTGTGGCTCAGTGAGTAGGGCACCGGCCCTAGGTGGTGGGTTCAAACCTGACCCTGGCCAAACTGCAACAAAAAAATAGCCAGGTGTTATGGCAGGTGCCTGTAGTCCCAGGTACTCAGGAGGCTGAGGTAAGAGAATCACCTAAGCCCAGGAGTTGGAGGTTGCTGTGAGCTGTGATGCCACAGCACTCTACCAAGGGTGAGAAGTGAGACTCTGTCTCTTAAAAAAAAAAATGTTACAAAATAGCCCCTGCTGTCTTTCCTCAGTTCTTCCGAGGAAGCTAAGGCTGCATTGGGGTGAGGCCCTCACTTCATCCAGCGACTAGCACCGTGCCCAGCAGCGCTGTCTCAGTACTCGCTTGCGCCATGGCCTCCGTCTCAGAGCTCGCCTCATGGCCTCTGTCTCAGAGCTCGCCTGCATTTACTCAGCCCTCATTTTGCATGATGATGAGGTGACCGTCACGGAGGATAAGATAAATGCCCTCATTAAAGCAGCTGGTGTAATGTAGAACCTTTTTGGCCTGGCTTGTTTGCAAAGGCCCTGGCCAATGTCAACATTGGTAGCCTCATCTGCAATGTAGGGTCTGGTGGACCTGCTCCAGCAGCTGGTGCTGCACCAGCAGGAGGCCCTGCCCCCTTCAGTGCTGCTGCCCCAGCTGAGGAGAAGAAAGGGGAAGCAAAGAAAGAAGAATCTGAGGAATCTGATGATGACATAGGCTTTGTTCTTTTTGACTAAATCGTTTTTTGTAATGTGTTCAATAAAAAGTTCAATTCTGCTGTCATGCTTAAAAAAAAAAAGTCCCTGCCCAGAATTCTTATGTTATGGAAATGAAAACCCTGGAATGAGGTGGTTTTACAAATATATTGGACTAGAACACAAAGTATAGCTGCTTTGGGGCTGCAAACACATGTGGGCCTTGAAGCAGCACCCTGCCAACAGCTCCAGGCCAAGTGGTGTGGGCTGGTCCAAAGAGCAGCACTCTATTTGAGCTCTGGGTGGCCCAGGCCGGCCTTGGTCACACCTGGCTTTCCCCTCCACAGAGCTGCGGAGGCGCAAGCTGCTCAGTACCCTCTGCCTTTCCTTTCGATGATGGGCAAGCCATACTGCTTTAGGGCAGGTTTTATGTCTTTCTGTGGAGCTGTCTCCTTCTTTGCACCAACACACTTCAAGGGCCTCAACACCAGGACTTTTCCATTTATTCCAGATCCAAACACTGACTGCAGTGTGAGGCTGGAGTAAGATGACAGTTTGGACACTCCTGAAAGCTTAAGTTGGGCAGTTCCATTATGCGGATCTGTCCTTGTCTCTTAAGATGGTCCTCCTCTTGCTTTAGGGACTGTTTCTGACAATCTTGTAGAACACACAGCCAGCACACCATAGGTCCATCTTGTACATGTAGAACCTATCAGTGAGGAGATATTCTGGGGCCCAGTACCAGTGAGTAGAGACATATTCAGTATACAGCTGCTTGGAATAGGCACTCTGGCAGAACCCAAAGTCCCATAATTTCAGGACATCCTGCTTTATTAGGATATTTTCTGGTTTTACATCTCTGAAATATTCCATTTCTGTGCATATGATCAAGGGATTTATATAACTGGTATATATAGTACATACTTTTTTTGTTTTTTAATTTTATTTATTTATTAAAAAAATTTTTTTTGAGACAGAGTCTCAAGCTGTTGCCCTGGTAGAGAGCTGTGGTGTCATAGCTCACAGCAACCTCCAACTCTTGGGCCTAAGTGATCCTCTTGCCTCAGTTTTTCTATTTTTTTTTT